ACTTTAGGTAATATATGTATAACTTCTCATGCACAAAACAATTCCTCAGGTAATATATGTATAACTTCTCATGCACGAAACAATACTTTAGGTAATATATGTATAACTTCTCATGCACAAAACAATTCCTCAGGTAATATATGTATAACTTCTCATGCACGAAACAATACTTTAGGTAATATATGTATAACTTCTCATGCACAAAACAATTCCTCAGGTAATATATGTATAACTTCTCATGCACGAAACAATACTTTAGGTAATATATGCATAAATTCTCATGCACGAAACAATACTTTAGGTAATATATGTATAACTTCTCATGCACGAAACAATACTTTAGGTAATATATGTATAACTTCTCATGCACAAAACAATTACTCAGGTAATATGTGTATAATTTCTCATGCACGAAACAATTACTCAGGTAATATGTGTATAATTTCTCATGCACGAAACAATACTTTATCCAATATATGTATAGCTTTTCATGCATGAACTGATATAAGAACAAGTAATGATTTGGTTTAATTGTATTCAAAGGTAAAGTATGTTATGAACTGACCTATTTATTTAATTCTTTTTCACCTCTTCGTTTCTAAAACTTATCAAGATTAAAGTGTTGACAGCTCTCTTTTCAGTTTATCACTTAATCGCGCCCATTGGGACAGTCCTTGTCATTCATTAGCCATGGCTATTGGGACGAACCCTTCTCTGTTCTAATATCTTAATGTTTAACTACAACATTTAGGCTAACTTGACTAACATTTCCTGTCAGTTATAGTGGGACTAGTCACGCGTCGTATTGCCCGCAGGGAATGAGCAGAAAAAAAATTAAAATATCGTATGCCCTCTTTGTCGTCGTATTGCCCACAGGGAATGAGCAAAAAAATTTTTTAAATATCGTATGCCCTCTTTGTACGTGTAAGAAAATACTACTCTCGTGCTCCTCCACCATTGGCTCTCTGTGATGAGGGGGGCGGGAAAAGGAGGAGAGATGTAGTGGCGCATGGTTGAATCTCATCAATATCAACAACTCGTCGGATGGTGCGATGACGTTGCAACCGACCGATTTCACAGCCTTGTCGAACCGTCCGTCTCAGTCGTTAAGCCTCTCCTCTAGTGATACTTACAGTAGGGTAAAAACCGAGCACCAGTCTGTGTCAATGTGAATCTCATCCGTAAATTAGTGCTGGAACTCTCGGAGCGATCTTATTGTACATTATTCTGTCTTTTTTTTTCTTTTTTTTATCGTGCTGCAAGTTTTATATACGAGGCTGACAAGTACCATAAAACGTAATTGTGGCGGCAAACAGCTGTAGAGTGCGTGTATAGCTGCCAGACAGAGAGTGTTTGTGGAACCACTTGATTAAAAGCAGCTACGAACATGCACCCTTTATATGGAGAAAACCAGAACTATTACCACTATGCCGGATATCCACCTATGGCGATGAACTCTATGATACATTCAAACAATGGTGTCCTCCCTCAACAAGTTCTACCTGACCACTATTCGAACCCACGGTTACGTCACTCACCTTATCCACCTCTAACACAGCACCCATCTCAACCCGCAGTTAAAGATATGGTCAAACCACCTTACTCCTACATAGCTCTCATTGCCATGGCAATTCAGAACTCCCCCGAAAAGAAGATAACCCTAAATGGGATTTACCAATTTATAATGAATCGGTTTCCCTTCTACCGAGAAAACAAACAAGGCTGGCAAAACAGTATTAGGCATAACTTGAGCTTAAACGAGTGTTTTCTGAAAATTCCACGGGACGACAAGAAGCCGGGAAAGGGAAGTTACTGGACTTTAGACCCGGATAGCGTGAACATGTTTGACAACGGCAGCTATCTTCGAAGACGCAGAAGGTTCAAGAAGAAAAATGCGCTTCTGGAGAGACAAGACGGTGAAGGGTCTAAGACGGCCCCGGAGAAACAGCTTAAAAGTGAGTCAGGAGGGAAAAGAGAAGAAAATCCTGCGAATAAAGACCCAATACGACGAAAGAAAGGATTAAAAGACACTCAACCAGATCAACGTGAGCACTCAGACAAAACAAAGAACACCGTTAACTCTAACCATAACACTTCAACCGGTGAAAACGATACAGTGCTTAACGTATCCGGGGCAAGGTTTCAGCTCTCCCCTGCATCCGTCTCTCCGCCTAGTGACATTCATCTTTTCAAGAAGTCTCCCAAATCCGAGCCCTTGGAAGACTTTGGCCTTCCGTCGTGTATGCAGCAAAGATCGAGAAACTGTGAATACGAAACCAAATTAAATAACTCTTCAACTGGTTCGCCTAGTTCGACGTTACTTAGCAACACTTTGTCCGAGGACTCTTTGGACTCAACGTGCGCTGGTAACTTTACAGTGAGCACCTTAATGTCACCTAGAGAACAGTCTCCAGTCATCGGTTCCGTTTCCTCTGCGGATTCTTCTCCGGGTTTGGTGAATTCAGCGGCACAGAACGAAACCTTAATGCTACCTTACAGTCGTAAGACCATGTATTCCTGCGGTGTGATGGGTAATTTCCCCGCCTGTAATGGATCCCCATCGGCTGTCGACTACAGCTGCACGGCATCTCCTGGAGTTTACCAGACTGATAATACGGGTCTCTGTCCGGCGCTCGAGAACTTATCAAGCGCACATGAATCCTGCAACCAGACAGGGACAGCCACGGGTCATTGCTTTGGGCCTAACAGCGGTTTATTAGCCGGAATGTCTGTTCAAGAACCCTACGCGTCTTCGGACCGAAATATGTCAGTTTCGAATAGTTGGTACTCCTTAGTCCCAGTGTCTGAGTCTACGGTTTCCGCCGACCAGGCCTTTTCTTCTGAAGTCTTCTCAACCGTTAACGGATTCTCCTGTGTCCGAGATATGTTCGAGTCGCAGCGGCTACTGGCTACTACATCCTCCGTTAACCCAAGCTGTCAGATGAACTTCACAAGCGGCATTGGAACCTACCCAGCTAGGTCGGTAACATCAAACTATTATGACTGTGGCAGGTTTTAGCTTTTTTTGTTCCACTTTTAATACGATATTCAAAACACATTGTGAGAAAACGTGCAGAGCACTTAGTCAAATATTCTTTCCGGTCCTTCTCTTCTTTACAGTATTCTTCTTTCAGTCAAACCAAAAAGAAAAAAGAAAAAAAACGTGCCACTTACAGTTTCGTGCACGAGTTAATGTTCACATCTCTATAATTTCTTGAAAGTCTTTAAAGTGACCAGGAATTCTCGGAAGTGGTGACATTTCTAGAAGCCCTGAAACTCTGAGCACTTTTATTGCCACACCAGTAAAATAATAATAACAATAACAATTAGTTTGTTTTTCAAGGACAAACAGAAAGTATTAACTGTCATAGAAATCATCACCAGAAGAGCTTTTTAATGGTGAGAATATATATATATATATAATATAGAAGCTCAGTTTTTCCTATGCAATTACTGTGTTACTGAAACTTAAATTTATACAGCTTAGTGTATTAACACAGTTTAGTGTATTAGTGTAAACACCGTTAATGTGGTTTTTGTTTGGTTTTTTTTTAGTCCCGGAAGTGTAGAATTTCAATGTAAATCCTTTTTTAAAATCCTGCTTATTTTGTTATTAATCTGGCTTATCATTCTTCAATCCGTCATATATTCGAATGTAGGGGGTACACTTTATCCAGTAGTAGCTTACTAAGCAATATTTCAAAAAATACCTATATTTCAAAACGATTATATGATCGAATAACTGACCCGGATATGTCAAAAGTCAAAAATTAAAATTCCAGTACTTGTATAGTATTGAGTTAACTTTATAACTTAGTGGCTTTTATCATCCTTGATATAGTTGTGGATTCTGACACAGAAAAGCTTTCTCAGAAATACCTTCTTGAATTAACGTTATCTTATAGTGCTATTTTACAGGTATAGTCATGAATTCGGACTGAAAAAAATTCTTTCTCGAAATAACATGTTGAATAATCATTGTTTTGTAATTATATTCAACACAACTCGTGGCAGAAAATGATTTTGACATGTTGAAAAGAGAGGCTATCCTCAATATACATCCGTTTGATACCACACATTTTTGGTATACTCATTACAGACACGACACAGAAGCTGTACTGTTTGCTTGAGTGACATTTTCCAATACCGATAATTGCAAGTACAAAGAATTAATCAGAGATGTATAATAGGATGCTCCAGCAAACCGTGCTTTAAAGCTACGAATACAGCAACTGACACTTTAAAAGGCAGTGTAGTGTTAAAGGCTACAGACAGGTTAGGCTTAACTCGCTCCTTAAACATAATTTATATGAAATATGTGAGTGAAAATCTACGTTTTTTCAGAAAAATTCTAGATTTCCCTTCCCCCCTTTTTTTTCCTCACAAAACGCTCGAATTAACTATGATTATCTGAAGTTTTCATAGGCCATTTTACACTCTAATTTCGCTAAAATTTTCCTGAAACTACTAGATAAAGTAAATGTTAATAGCTTTTTGTTATCAACTGAAGAAAGAGTTTATATTCCTGAATCAAAAACTGACATACGGTTATTAGAATCCACAAACTAGGTAGAGTGAAATGTGACACAATGAAGCAAAGGATCTCTTTTTAAAATTCAGTTATTAACAAAAAAAGAATCCATGAAGAAAAGAAATAATCAATGACATATAAAAGAGACTAATAGATCAGTAGAGTAACGAGTTATTAAGTTTATTGGTAGTTAACAATCGTCTAACTCGAGCGCGCAATTATCTTGATATTTTAAGATAATAACCATGGGTAATGTATTAAATATTACTTTTCACTTAAAGCCTATTTTCACTTAAGGCTGAAATATAATAGGTTTTTGATGGAACTTATCAGTACTATATAATGGTAACACTGATAT